TTCCTATAACTTTCAGCTTCTTTCTGCTCCATTCAGATCTTCATTTAGCTGCCCCTGACTCACTTTTATATCCTAGCTTTGTCACTTTCCTGGGTTCTCCTATTCCAGATGGATTTGTACATTTGAATCATTGTGGTCTACCATTTCTTCTGTCATCTCTCCTGTCCACTCTCTCTGTCTCTCTGTTCTCTCTCTGTCTCTCTCTCTCTCTGTCTCTCTCTGTCTCTCTCTCTCTGTCTCTCTCTCTCTCTCTCTCTCTCTCTCTCTCTCTCTCTCTCTCTCTCTCTTTCTCTCTCTCGCTCAGGAGGGCTGGAGCCATAGCTCACTGCACATGGAAGGACCATCATTTATTCGTTCCTTTAAGGTCATAGTTGGAATTCACAAAGAAAACCTGTGGGAAGACTATGATTCTTCACTGAGAAAATGTACACAGTTTTGGAGATTTAAATTTTATTTTTCATTTTTTGTTACACATTCAGGAAAGTAGGGGATAGTTGACACTTTACCTTTTTATGTGAAATCCTGAGAATCAGAGACATGAGTCTATCAGGTCATAATGTATTAAGACAGTGAATCCTGCATCTTTTCTTAATTCAGTGTATCATTTGGCAATTGATAAATGTATGTAGTACACTTTGATTCCTTTCTTCTCCCATTCCCTTTTATATCCCTTCCTATTCTCATTTACCCTCTTTCTCAGATTGCTGTCTGTTTTGCTTAGATATGTAATTCTATTACTGTTGAAATCTTACAAGATGGTAAAGTTTTAAAGGTCTTTGGGAAGCATATACCAACATAGTACTGCTTTTGCCAACTTGGTGTGGCTATTTTTTTCTTTTTACAACCAGCGGAGTACTGTGACGGAAGTACAGATATAAAGATATACTATGTAAAGTCCCCTGATGGATATACTCAAGGTCTTTCTATCTCTGAGACTCTGGTGCTTATTTAAAGTATGCACAGTAGGTGCTAGGAGATGAGACAGCTCAGCTATCAAGAGCTGGTTCTTGCAGAGGACTTTAGCGAGTTCCTAGCACACATGCTAGGAAGCTCACATCTGTAGTTCCAGCTCCAAGGGTGATAGCACACTCATCTGGCCTCAGTGGAGACCTGCACATGTGTGACATGCATTCCCATAGACACATGCATAAAAATAAAAACAAATTTAAAAAATAATTTGACAAAATGGAAACACAGGACTAAATTTGCCTTTAAAAACTTATGTAATAGGTTTGTTCCATCGCTGCCAGTGAAGCTGAATCCTTGGGCGTTGCTCAGGAAAATCACCAGTCTCCTATCACCTTTCTGCTGTTCACACTTTGTAAGGGGTCAAAAAGGTCAGCAGTCAGATGACAGCAATGCATCAATCATCACAAACTCCAATAATGCTGATATCCTGTTAACTGGGCATCTTCAACCCAGTTTTTCACTTTTTATCCCCCTTCAAGTTCTACTAGGTCCCCTTCTCCCCAGAATGTTCTTCAGGAAAAACTGCCTATCTTAGTTACCTATCTCCCTTGCAGGCTATCAGCCCACCATGCTATGGGATGACACTAAACCGGAGAAGCTAAAACTTTGCAGACTCACATATATGAGCTGTCACTGCTGAAGTCATGGCTGGAATTATCATGGCATTTACAGAGTCTAATTAAAGAAGTTCTTGATGTCCCCCAGTGACTTAAGTTAACAATATTGCCAAGATGGGATTCTAAATACTCACTTGTAAAATCAAATTGGTGTGGAGGTAACTCTCCACACCAGTACCAGTCTGATTTAATTTCAGTCAGCAGGGAAACCTGGCAGCTATTTAAGGTCTAAGAATTCGGCTTCTGTTAAGAAAGGAAACTGAAATTGCATGCTATGGGTCCAAACACCAAAATCACATGAGGGTAAGTGTCAGGGTCTTATTCCTAAAACTCAATATAGGTCTCCTGAAACTCCCTTAATCTTGGGGAATGATTCATATTGACTCTGTCTCTTTCTGTGTCTCTGTCTTGTCTGTCTTGTCTGTCTTGTCTGTCTGTCTGTCTGTCTGTCTGTCTGTGTCTCTTTCTTTCTCTCTGCCTCTCTGCCTCTCTGCCTCGCTGCTTTCCCCATTCTTTCCAAGACAGGGACTCTCTGTGTAGCTCTGGTTGTCCTATACCTCCCTCAGTAACCCAGGCTGCCCTGGAACTCAGTGCGCTGTCTGCCTCTGCCTCCTGAGTGCTGGGATTAAAGTGCAGACTGCCCAAATCAGCTTCTCTTTTCACACCATGGGGAAAAGAAGCGCTCTACACATTTTGGACTAGCATAGTAGATGATAAAGTCTTTCAGCTTTTCCACTGAGTAGCCATCACTGTGAATTCCTTCACCTGGATCACAGAGGGAATTAAAGACAAACCTTCCTGCCCTTCAAATTCAAGGAACTTCTTTTTAAAAGAGATTAATTAACATTCTGTTACCACACACCTTGCTGAGTTCTCTTCGCCTCCACATACATTTTATTTCTAATTAAAAATAGCTACAAAGAGTGTCACATCATGTTATAGTGGACATATATCGACGATGTGTTTCAACTTGAACCCTAGGGAAGAAATAGCTCAAATTTTATGCATGAATATTCAATAAGTCTGTGCATCTTTTAGTTGCAAGTTAATGTTCAGAAAGACAGATAGGTACTATGTGTCCACACAAATCAGAAAACAATGAACACCTGCTTTATTGTCAAAGCTACAGATATCCCTTATACTTCATTTTTATCCAGACAAATTAATATCTAACTGGAAAAAATTCAAATGAAATTTTATTTTTGATCACATAATAGTTAACAATTAAGAAAAATTCCTTTTACCAAAATACAGTCTCTAGTCACTTAAATATATGCAGAATTGTATAAACACAATATTAGAGTTTTTTTTCTATTACAGTAGATATTTTATTTTTTATGAACTATCTCTTAATAGTTTTTGTATGTCAAATGATAAAGATATTTCTGATCCCTGGCGTTAGTAGAAATGGAAGGTTTTCCAACTTGGAGCTTGGAATATATATTCAACATAACAGTTTTGGACTAGTTTGTATTTAATGCTTAAGAATGTAAGGAGAAAGAAGCAGACTTGAATAAATAGAACAGATACCAGGAGACTGATGCTCAGACATTGTTATGTCAAAAAGAGATTTGTTTTACAAAAACCTTAACTCCCATTGGAAATAACTAGTAAATAGATTTAGATATTTATGATTTCTTGTCTTTATGAGAACAATTTAGTCTTATAAAATCCTCAAAAGAAATGTAGGGTATCTCTTGAAAGGGACTTAAATGGCCTTCAAGAGAATTTAAAAGAAAAACTGAAGGATCCCCTCAAAGACAGTGCACAGCACATTTGTATAAATTAACACTGGAACTTCTTTAGAAAGCCATGACTGTGTGAAGTAGACTCTAGAACTTACTCTGTAAGAGTAAACATATATGTCTCCACAAGCATTCCCATCTCTCCCCCACTGTTCAGCCCCTGGCATCTTCGTGAACTGGCTGTTTAGTTTGCAAGCATAACTGAGACCATGTGCTATTTGTTTTTGTGTATCTGGTTTATCTCACATCACATGATTTTTCCAGGGCAATATTGCCTCTTTTTGTTTATGACTATTGTATGTGTGTATCAGACATTATTGATCTGTTTTAGCTATAGGTGATATTACTATACTATTTATTTGAACTTTGATATTAGAACAGACTTTAAGTGGCTTATCCTTCCTCCTGATGTGCACAAGTTAACTATGAAGGGATAAGTGTATTAATCAATTTAATCATGGTTATCATTATAACATATATACATTTATCAAGCCAATTTTATATCTTGAATATGTACAATTAATTATGTCAATCAAATAGGTTAAAATAAAAATAGGAAAAGAGAACAGAACCTATATTGGAGGGAACTATTTAATTGTATTGATTTAAATGAAGAAGACCTGGATACTGGTTTATTTCCCAGGCTAGCAAAACTCTCTACCTGTCTCTGGAATAAAGACAGAACTCAATAGAGCTTTTAGCAAAAGTGCCCATGATGACTACATCAAGAAAAGATTCTTAAAAATCCCTTTCTGAAAACAAAGTTTACACTGAGTCAAGGATAACGACAAATCATGATTTGTTCATTCATTCTCAACGTGAACTTTTTTCAAAGAATAGAACATCAGGAACTGCTCTCTCTACAGACTGCAGTTCCTTAAAGAACACACCGCATCAAAACCTCTCACTTAGAACTTTCCTCAGTGCAGTGGGCAGCCTCTAACAGTATCTCACTCACACTTTCAGCATGTGTTTACTGCTCCATTAGAATGTTTACTTCAGAAACAGTCTTCCTACGTGGGATGTTATATTGTTTTCTACTTGTAAGTCAATGACATAGAACTAGAAAGTAGGGTGTCAGTTCACAGTGTCTGACATCATTTAAACAACAAAATAGTATGTCTGTATGTAGCACATACTCAGGCAAAAGCAATACTCTCGTTTGCTTGTGACAAGGAAATGTGTTCTAAGCCTTTGAGTTATATCTATGCCAGAATAAAACAGGAAATGGCAAAAGGTCACATCTATATATCTGCATGAAACACTCGGGCTCTCATTCACACACCAGGCATACAGAAGACATATTGCCTCTTCCCGAAGGCCTGCACTGCTTATCAGTTTCCTGAAAGGGCAGCAAGGAGCGGCTCACAGGGGCCCGAAAAGGCAACCATACACAGAATGAAAAACAGAGACAACATAGTTTATCGTTTAACTTAAGAATTATGGTCTAGTTGGTTTCAATTTGCATAGTTGTAATCATGTCAGACAAAGGCCTTCCCCCAGGGGTTTGCATTCCATGGTCAAGAACTGAGAGAATGCAGTTATTAACCACAGACAATTGATTTTGTTTAGACTACAGGCTAAGGAGAGGGACGGATGAGCAGAGTAGACACAAGGACTTAAAAAGAGAAACAGCAAAAACCATTTCAGCAGGGAGTGTGGCACTTACTCTTAGGTGCTCTCCAGGACTGTACAGGATGTGATGAGGATGAGTGTCGTGTATTTCATTCTTTCCCAAATCTGTTGTTCTCACATTATTTGAGCTAAGTCACATTTTAGGTAGACTGGTGCTCCTGTCCTGATTTCCTGCTGAGTAACAGACTTCTGTAGGCTTCTCGATTGGAGAAGAGCCTGGCTCCTCTCTAAGAACAGAAGGTTTTTGCAGAGTGAATAATGTAGTGTGAAGCTCCCAAAGCTTTCTCTTCACCAAAGAAAGGAATCCTCCCTCTGTATTAGGAAGAATGAGAAAGATCCGAGCCATGTGCTTTTAATCATTTTAACTGACAGCGGTCAAAATGCCAATTAAATAAATCTTAGAAGTACTGTTTATATCTCATATTTAAGTGACCTTGAATGTTTTCTGGAACTCCAATTTATCATGAACAAATCCATACTGAGCTCACAGGCATTGCATTAATCATTCACTGTATAAAGTAAGCTACACAATAAAATTAAATTAAATCTCAATTTACCAAAACATTAACATGCTAACAACTTCCAACTTTGTGACACCACAGACTAGTGATGAAATAAATAAAACAGTATATTCACTATACTAAATGATATAATTGAACTTAAAAAGCAGTTTTTTTGTGTTCTTTGAGAAAAAAAACATGCTGTTTACTTTAATGCTGTGACATTTTATTTTGTGATTAATTTAAAAATAACATTGTAAAAACTACAAACTCATTTTAATTTGACAAGCATTTGGTAATTAATTTTCAAGCAATGCTATGGGAACCCAGAAAGCGCTCTTCCTTTGACATGTATTTTATAATTTATTTTAAAACAATGCCGCACAAATCTGCAAAGGCATAACTCATTTGGGAGTTCATTAATTATGCAAATGAGTTGCAATTAACAAATCTGTTCCAAGGATGGCATTTGCATAATAATGAACTTCATGTTTGTGACATTATTTAATAAGATACCTTTGTGCATTTTTAAACGAAACACTCTTGTGAATACTATATGATGAGCTAGGGTTGGAAACGGACATGTAGTCAATGAGATTCCAAACCGCATGCAGAAAAATGCTGTTAAAATAAACAGAATTATATGTAATTCAAATAATAAATATGGATTTTTTAGAACACAAGGGTTTTGATTAGTCTCAGCTTCCCTAGATAGCATAAGACATCAATTTACATTTATAAAGTACCAATATACAAATTACACTAAAAAGAGGTGAAGCAAACAGAACTATAAACTTCAATTTAATATTTCTAGTAAAAGTGGGCCACATTCTTTACATATGACTCCTAAACCATGAACATTTTATTAAAATAAACATATAATTATACATCCAAAGGCTTCTTTCAGAAACTTATGGCAGGATGCCCACAAACCCCTCATTACTTTTCAGTCAGTAATCATTTTTAATCATCTACAATGGGTGTAACTGTAATCAAGTTAGTGTGGATGACAGGAAGGTGAAGGGGTGGGGTGCTGGTCAGTGTGTAAAAATGCTTGCTCTGCAAACATGAGGATCTAAGTTGGAATTGTCACCATTCTTCTAAGTAGCTGGATGTGGCTATGTGTGTCTATGGCCCTCCCAGCTTTATGAGACAGAAATGGATATAGCATGAGAGTTTACTGGCCAGAGAATCTTGCCAAATGGCAAGCTTCAGGTTCAACTAGAAACCCTGTCTTTAAGTAATAAGACAGAGAGTAATAGATGAAGATAGCTTATGATGTGCTCTGGCCTTCACCTGCATACACATAGGCACATGAACCCATACACTCAAGTGCATGTAACATCACACACACACACACACACACACACACACACACACACACGGAAGATATATTACTACCTTTATGTGAGATGAGGGACAGAGACATGAAACCCTAAAATACAATGAAAATTATGAAAGAAAGAAAGGCTCTGTGCTCTGGAGGAGTCTAGAGTTGGTAGAATCATTTACTTAGTTTGAAGAACTCAGAAAAGTGTCTTTGAAAAAGAAAACTCTATCATAAAGGAAAAGGGGGTCAGCAGGGGGCTTGAAAATAAAGAGCACTGGAGAAGGAACAAGTGGCAAGCACAAACTCATGTGAGAACCTGTCAGGGGATTGTGGTTAGGGAAATGAAAGGACACTACCATGACTTGATGGGGGGCAGGCGGGGAAATCAATGCTTCTGGAGGAGCGCTGTCCAAAGTTTGAGATCCAGCTTTAGATAGATGAGAACAGCTGACACAAAGACGGGCAGGACGGGATGAAAGAGTGGTGGTCACTTCCTCTTCATTGCTTACACAGAGTGTCTTAATTGATTGGCAAGTATGTTTTGAAGATAGGATATGGTCAGGTGACTTTATGAGTTGTATGTTGGTGGTCTCAGAACACCATGACTGTGATGACCACTGAGATTCTGATGATCACATCTCAGTTTGAAAATAAGAATCATGTAGGAATCACTCCGCAACTCACCAAACTTATTTTCTGTACTTGGAAGTTCTTCAAAACCTAGCCTTCTCTACCTATCATGTCAGATGGGCAATAATTCAAAATTGTTTCCTAATAAAATGAGTAAATTAGAAACAGTACAAGGCATGAGTAGCCTAACCCACGAAGCAGGCAAACAGGAAGTACTTGTGGAAGCGTTCATTCCAAACTACTTCCAGAATCACGCACAGGAAAGAACAAAACTGTTTACAATACTAAAGTACATAGTATCATGCACTTTAGTAAAGTACAGTCTACTCCAGGAAACCAAGGTTTCACAGTTTTGTTTGGTTTTTACCATAAATATGTCAACTTATTTTAGGTGATATTTTATTTTAGAAAATTTTCCTTTAGTGGTAAAGTCTTGCCAACAGGCAACCAGTTTTGTTAGGCTATCCCATAATAGTAATAATATGGAGGTGGACGTTATCAGCTTTTGAGCATCCAGCATCTGTTCTATCTGTTCTCTGTTGACAGCACTTCAGTTTCCTTTGGAAATAGTACTTTCCCTGTTGTGCCCAGTTCTGCTGGGATATTATGCTAGGTACTTCCTTTCTATTCCTTCCTCTAAATTCTGTTAGGCCTTTTCTCAAATTCAAGCAACTACACTCTCTCCTCTGAGTTTTCATTAGAGTATTTCAAAAACCTCATCCTTTTGTGGTCAATTGGCAAAAGACCTGCTTGTTCCAAAGATAGACCATTACTTACTTCTCAAATCTTGCAAGCTCCTACAAAATTTATTTTCTGTCACCATTTCTTGATGTTGTGTGACACTGTTCCCAGGAAGATGTAAACAAACATCTACTTACTCCAGACAGGGAACCAATGACAATACCACCAAAGTCCAGTGTGGTGAAGCAATGACTCTTATTGGGGTTACTTACAGGAATATGGGTAAGGAGTTACTTTCTAGAGCAGAAAACAGCATACAAGTAGCTCATCAGGTGGGAGAATGTCCTTTGCAGTTACTTTTCTTGGTCACTGTTTCTTTCAGATAGCTCAGAAGTCCATGCTGATTATATGTGCCTAGGGATGGGGTGATCTAGTAAATCTGATCAATTTCAGTGACTTCCTGAAGATATTGAGTTGTTTACTTCCTCTTTACAGAATGGAATGTTTCCCTTCCTCTTAGAACATTCTGTTGTGGCCTCCCTTCATCTTACTGAGATTGCTCCTGAGAGATGAACTCTTGTCTGACTTCCGGGATCATCCTTTGGTTCAACAAGGTTTTCTTGAGTGGAAGCTTCTAATCTCAGAGAAAAGTACCGAATGGCACCAGAGAAATCTGATGTGATATAAAAACACAGAAGACTCAAACTAACATTTCATAAGATAATTTTCCTAATAAGTACAAATAAACCATTTAGAAAATGATAAGGGAAAAATTAAATAAAATATCACTTTGAATAAAAAAAAGGAGATGTTTGTTTAAGGGTAGTTTTTAGTGGTAGCAATGATCCTAAGACCCCCCCATGGTAGGAAGCAGAGATTGAGAGATTGTGCAAAGCCTTGTTTTCCTTTGGAACTTTACAACATTGTCCAACCTAGCCAAAACCATTGCCTTCAAGAGGTTAGGCTAAACAAAACAAAACAAAAACAAAAACAAACCAACCAACAAACAAAAAAACATTCATAGCGTTATCTTGAAAATGGGCCTAGGACAGTACTAACAACTCTGACTCTGAAAACAGATGTTAGCCACAAGGCCTTGACTATCAATGGCATTATTTGGTTCTAAGGGCAGCTAGCTGGCTAAAACCAGCTTCCATGTGTCTCTAATACCCATCACCCTTAAAACTGTGAAAAGCACAAAATAATTTTTTTAGTTAAAACTGTGTAGTGATAACATTGCTGGGGAAGATTAAAGTATCAGTGTAACTTGCTTGCATTTGATTCTCACAAGTACCTTATGGAAAAGAGATTACAGAATGAAAGCTCTCATCAAGCACCTAAGCATTTTAAGTCATTGGAATGCAAAGCGTCATGTTATGATTAAATAGCATACACAGCATTGTTGAAAGAGGCAAATTGTTGAGCAAAGCAAAGCATTGTGGATAAATGCTCTTCTCAATATGTTTTATATCCAACTGTATACTTGAAAAGGGGAAGGTGGAAGGAGACCTCCTCACAAAATCTCTCTCTCTAATGCTCCCATTAAAGGTAGGCTTTAACATTCATTGTTTAGTATTTATGTTTCCCAAATCCTCCTGAAGTATACCTGTGCTGAAGTATACAGGATCTCCATGCTGCCCTCTCTCTGTGCTCAGTGTTGAGAACACTTTCCCCCAGCAAGGTCCAGCCTGTGCTCCTGCCCACATGGTTTTGTTGTCATGCTCACTTTCTCTTTTCAAGTCTCACTGCCAGTGTTGGGCACATAGCTCAGTGGTAGGGCACTTGCCTAACAGATACAAGGCCATTTAGAGAGAGAGAGAGCTAAGGGACAGAGGGGAGAAAGAAAGGGAGAGAAGTTGCCCCACATTGTTATTCCTCTGGAAGAGGTTTGCTGTCAGTAGCTTTCCATTGGATAGTTGAAAGCTTTGTACATCATAAACATTTTCTTTGCCAAATGAGTTTGACCCTTGATTGCTATTAGATGCAAGTCCATCTTTAACATTATTGACTAATAATCACTGCCCAGCTATTTACATTAGCAATTTATGACTCCAGCAGAACACTCTACACTCCTGGGAATGGTTCAGAAAATTCATTCTTCCATTCCCCAGCCCAAGGTAAGGA